TATTGCCTTTATTTAAAAATAACTCTTGGAGTGTGTAAGATTAAGTGTGAAAAATACCACAGGATAAAACAATAAATATAGTTAAGGTGGGTTTTAAACCTGCTTACTAAACTATTAAATACTAGAAATATTTTTATAACTTTTAGATTTTAGACTTCACAATCATAGCTTAATAAGTCCTAGGAATTAATAAGTATGTTGATATTATTAACTTATAAAGTTTAATTTTATATTTAAAGTATAATTTATTAATTTATAACTTTAATAAGAATATAGATAGTAATGCTAATCTTATATTTAAAAAGACAATATACTCCCAAATACCTTCATTTATGCTTATGAAATCATTCAGTTGCCATTATACTATATTTTATTCTCCTTTGGGAGAGATTTAATCATCTAGTCTCTAAGCAAATATATAGCTACTATCTCTGAGAGTATCAGACTGAAGTTTTAACACTATGTATATAAAAATCTAATATGATGGTTGATATTATCAATTTTAGTTCTCCAATGTTTTTAATTGTTATTTTCAAAAATAGTCATAATATATAAAATAGAATAGTATTATTCTTTCTCAGAAAAAAATTTTAAGCAATTCTAAATACAAGTTTCCTTCCTAAAATACTAGTGGAAATATTTGATGATAAAAGATGTTTCTGACATTAAAATAAATGTATTTAATGATTGCCACTTTCTATTAACATATAGATCAAAAGTAAGATGCCAAAGAAATATTTTAGGAAGTTAAGGAAGTTGCATAAGTGATGTTATTTATTTATGTAACTTAAAATGTATTACAATTTTCTGAAATGTTTGAATTAAATATATTCCCTCACCTTACTCTGGTAGGTTGTTGTAGACTGAAATTTGTTCTTATCTTTTAAGATCAATACACTTACTCTATTGCTTTTGAGGTTCATTTTATAATAATTTCCAGGTATTTAATAACTATTATAATATTAAGGAACTGTAAAAGTAAAATATTTATAACTACAGGTTGTATTGTTGATCAACTACTTAGAAGGTAGTACTTTCTTGACATATCAGAGTGTTTTCCAAATTCTGTAGGTGATTTGTCAGAGATATACCTAATCTGTCTTGGGATAATATAAGAACAAATTTTTTATCAACTATAGAATTTGTAATGAAGGGACATACTGAGAAATTTATTTTTACCGGTGCTTAGTCCTTCTTATTTATTTCCCATATTGCCTAGGCTGCAATCAATAAAAAGTAACCAAGTCAATCCTCAAGGAAAACCACTTGTCACTTAAATACATAATTTTTTTTCTCACATTATTTCTCCATGAATGACGTAAAACTACGGTAAAAAAAATCCTGTTAGTGCACTAGTGTTATAACAGAGATCTCTTGTGGCTTATTGGTGAGAAGCTGCACTGCAATTCCAAAGGGATGATTCAAATCCACAGCTACTTTACAGGAGAAGGCAGGGCAATCAACTCCTGTGTGGAAACCTGCTGAAGGTTCAGCTATGACTTGCTTCTGAGTTGGCATATAACAACAATAACAAGAACTTTGTTGGGACAATTCCATTATCAGTCACATAAATACCCCTATTGGCCTGATAAAATGTAAACATTTCTCAAATTTCAATAGAAGTTAATGGCTAATAGATCCCTGCTATTTAAAAATTTACTTTCAAATAATTCTTTCCCTTCAGACTAGGGAATTTGTGGATACAAGATACATAATTATATCATCTTAAAATATGTTTTTTTACTTTACTTTGCAAACCAGGACCCCCCTCAGCTCCTCGGAATGCCATCTCAAATGTAAATGAGACTAGTGTCTTTCTGGAATGGATTCCTCCTGCTGACACTGGTGGAAGGAAAGATGTGTCATATTATATTGCATGCAAGAAGTGCATCTCCCATGCAGGTGTTTGTGAGGAATGTGGCGGTCAAGTCAGGTACCTCCCCCGACAGATCGGCCTGAAAAACACCTCTGTCATGATGGTGGATCTGCTTGCTCACACAAACTATACCTTTGAGATTGAGGCAGTGAATGGAGTGTCCAGCTTGAGCCCAGGAATCCGGCAGTATGTGTCTGTAAATGTAACCACAAATCAAGCAGGTAAGTGTGGCGTCCAATCCAGTTAGGAATAGCTCTGTCAACTCTCTCCACAACTAAAGCCAAAGTTTAGTGCATTCTGTGAGAGAATTTTCCATTAGTCAGAACTTAAAATACCAAGTCTTCCTTGCACACATTTTCATGAGGGGGAAGAATACGCTTTTATATTTTAACAGAGTTTTCTTCATTATAAATTATTTCCGGATCAAACCATATAAGTAAAGCTTTTCATCTTATGTACTTTTCCAAATCTTAAAGCTCAAATTTGCCTTTACTGTGTTTTTGTTTTAGTTCTTTCTTTCTTTAAATTTAATTTTAAATTTCTTTCTTTAAAATTAATTTTGACATGTAATCAGATGGATTTTTTCCCCTTTATGTACTTAGGTTAAAATAATATTTTCTTATCATTTATATCATTTTGAAATCAATATAAGAATTTTTATTTGATGATTTATCAATATTAGAACAGTTATGAACTACTAGAGAATGAAATGGACTGTTATAATAACTGGGACAATAGGGTTTGGTGTGTCAGAATTAGTGAGACAGGCTCAGGACAGGGCAAGCTTCAGAGTTGCTGTACATAGTGTCACTATGTGTCATAGGAGACCTGACAGCACGTAACAACAAGAAGTGGAAAAAAGTTAATTTGCCAAACCAAAAGGAGGTGGTTCAAATCCACCATCTACTTTTATCACATACTGCCTATAGCCTCTGAAAAACCCATTAGAAGGTCACCTATGAGTCAATTGCAATGAGTTAGTTTATGAGTCACCATATGGCCATTAAAAGCTTATTTAAATTACATGTGGAGAATTTAGAATGGGAATAAGTGATATTTTTGAGTTTGAACCTACCAGCTGCTATTCAGGAGAAAGATGTGACAGTTTGATTCCATTAAGAAATCCTATGGGACAATTCCACTCTGTCCTAAGGATTGCTATGAGTCAAAAAGCAACTCAGTGACTCTGAGTTTGGTTTTATGTTTTAAGTGTTTGTATAGAGATTAGATCACAGTGACTTGCTTTGGTAAATATTTAAGCCTTGAAAAGCCTATGGATTATTTTCACTTTGTAACACATGGATTTGTCAAGAGTTGACGTACCCTCAATGGCATTTTTTTCCTCATTGCTTTGTTTACCAAGTTTGTATACATTGTGTTTCACACTATTTTTAATTCACATTGTATTTCATACAATCATTTTCATTCATTATATTTCACAAAATTAATCACCTTTAAATCTTTCCAATCATTACCCTGTCCTTTTACCCGGATCCTTCCTATTTCCTCCTCACTTTCCTCCACTCACCATACCATGGAAACTTTTGATTGTCCTGTTAAAGCTACAAATACATTTTCCAATCACTTGCTTTCTTATAAATCAACCTAAAGGGTTTCTCATCTAATAGAAATGAAACCAAAGAAAAAACATGACTGTATTATTAACTCAATTAACTGCTTGACAAGAAGTATTCTAAGTCTATGCATAATTATAGTGTTTTCTTTTCAAAAACAATAGTTAGCTGGAAGAGTAAGAGCAAAGATATTCACATTAATAGCTAAAATAAAGTTTTAATATTCCTATATCAAGGACTAATGCCTTCAATATGTATGAATTGAAACTCAACATCAAGAAAACAAAGATTCTCACCATTCGGCTGATTGGCAGCATCATGAGGGATGATGAAGAGATTGTGATTGTTGACAGCTTAATTTTGCCTAGCTCTACAGTCAACACTCTCAGTACCAGAAGAAAGGAAATTAAAAGACGAATTGCTTTATGGATGTCGGCTGTTAGAGATCTCTCCAAAGTACTGAAGAGCAACAATGTGAGGCTGGAGACTAAAGTGCACTTGATACAGGCCATGGTTTTTGCAATTACTTGCTATGCATCAGAGAGCTGGACAATGACTAGGGATGATAGAAAGAGAGTTGGTGCCCTTGAGCTGTGGTGCTGAAGAAGAGTATTGAATATATCATGGACTGGTAGGAGAACAAACAAGTTTGTCTTGGAGAGGGTGAAGCCAGGCTCATCCATGGAGACAAGGATTCTGAAGATCTGTCTAACATACTTTGGACTTGTGGCAAGGAGGAATCAGTCCTTGGAGAGAGACGTCATGATTGGGAGGGCAGAGGGACAGTGCAATTTGTCTTTTGATTTCCTGACTACTGGTGTTAATAGTGTCGATTATAGAGCTGAGCATGCTGTAATTGCTAACAACCTCAATCTTTTCTCCATCCAATATAGTGCTGCCAATTGGCCCAGTAATGAGGATTTTTGTCTTCTTTATGTTGAGCTTCAATTCATACTGAAGACTACAGTCCTTGACCTTTTGCAGCAAGTGCTTTAGTCTTCTTCAGTTTCAGCAAGCAAAGTTGTGTCATCTGCGTATCTTAGGTGGTTAGTGAATCTTCCTCTAATCTTGATGTCACACTCCTCCTCATAAAGCCCTGCTTCCTGAATGATCTGTTCTGCATACAGATTGAGAATGTACAGGAACAGGATGTATCCCTGACACATTTCTTTCCTGATTTTGAACCATGCAATGTTTCCTTGCTCTGTTCTGACGATTGCTTCTTGGTCCAAGTATAGGTTTTGTATAAGCATGATCAACTGTTCTGAGATTCCCATTTCCCTCAAGGTTAGCCACAAATTATTGTGATCCACACAGTCAAATGTCTTTGCATAGTCAATGAAACACAAGCATTCTTCTGGTACTCTCTGCTTTCTGCACAGATCCAACTGACATTGGCAATAATGGCCCTAGTGTCATTACCTCTTCTAAAGCCAGTCTGTATTTCTGGCAGTTCTCTGTCAATGTACTGTTCAAGTCTTTTCTGGATAATCTTTAGCAGGATTCGGCTAGTGTATGATATTACTTATATTGTTTGATAATTTCCACACTCTTTTTTTCAAATGGGAATAAATATGGATTTCTTCCTGTCAGTTGGCCGAATGCTTGTCCTCCAGATTTCTTGGCACAATTTGATGAGCACATGCAGGGCAGCATCTGTTTGCTGAAATAAATACATTGGTATTCCATCAATTCCTGGGGCTTTATTTTTTGCCAAGTCCTTCAGAGCAGCCTGTACTTCCTCCTTCATCACCATTGCCTCTTGCTCATATGTTGTTTCTTGAAATTCTTCTGTGTCAGCACATTCTTTTTGGTACAATGACTCTGTATACTCCTTCCATCTGCATTTAATGCTTTCCAAGTCATTAAATATTCTGCCCATAGCATCCTTAGGCATTGCAACTCGTGGCTTGAATTTATTCTGTAGATCTTTCAGCTTAAGAAATGTTGAGCCAGTTCGGGCCTTCCGATTTTCCTTCTCCAGCTCCTTGCCCATTTCATTATAATATTTTGCCTTGTCTTTCCAAGCAGCCCTTTGAAATCTTTTAGTCATCTCCTTAACTTCTTGATTTCTTCCTTTTGCTTTGATTTCTCAGTGCTCTAGTGAAGTATTCAGATTACATGAAATATTAGTAGATGTTTTGAATTTATGATTGACTTGAGAAGGGAATGCTATTGGTATCATGTTTCAGCCAATAAGATGAATTTGAATTGTTGCATATATCTACGAAATTAGATTACTATCTCTTGAAAATAAGATAAGGAATAATACATGCATTGAGCACGTTGCTTTTTCTATTTGCTATGTTCTTCCAATTTATAAGATAGAAGGATAACCCTATTAATATGAAAGCAGTAGACTCAATGAGAATCATTCAAAATCTGTAATTTCTTCTATTTTTTAATATGTTGTTTTTAGGTGCCTTTGAGTCAACTATTACTCATAATGACTCTATGTACAATTGCTCTGAACCCCGATCTATCTTGAACCAATCTCACTGTCTCTGACACACCTACCCTCATTACCCCAGGTATTTCTATCAATTCATTCTCATCTGGGGTCTTCCTCTCCTATGCTGTTCCTCCACTCTTCCAAGCTTGATATGCATCTCCAAAGATTGTTCCTTCCTGATACCCAAAGTATGTGAGACAAAAATCTCAAAATCTTCATTCTAAGGAACATCTTAATGTCATCCTCTCCTGGATAAACTTTTTAGTTAGCAGTCCACTATATGTTCAATACTCTTCTCAAGCACCACCATTCAGTAGCATCAATTCTTCTGTCATCCTTGGTCATTTTCCAGCTTTCTGATATTATGCTTGTAATGGTGAAGGGCAGCACAAGAGAAGAAGACCCTTAATGCCATGGACTGATTCTGTGACAAAGGTATTGGACTTAGGTGTGTCAGAGACAAAGAAGTTGGCCCAAGATAAAGCGAAGTTCAGAGTTGTTGTACATAGAGTCACAATGAGTTGCAACAACATGACAAGAACTTTTTTTATCCCTGAGAAATACAATGTATTCATATGTGCTACTTTTCTCAAGAGTTCTCCTGCATTATAGACTCACTAGAAGAAATAAATATTTTATTATATAAAAAATTTATATAAAAATTTTATATACATATCTAAATTTAAAAAATATTTAGTAAATATTATCTAGCTTCTTGTACCAGGAAAATAGTAGATTTAAGTATATTATTCTTTGCTTCTTGTGCAATACCCTTCATTCTTACTTGACTCTACGTTTTGGGAGTGCCATCAGTAATCTGTAAGATTACATTCTTCTTGTTGTTGTTATGTGCCGTTGAGTCACCTGCATTCTTATAGGGGAAAAAATCGTAGCTTTTTCAAACAACTTTGACAGATAATTCTCTGATTAATTCAACTTATAGGAAAAATAAACCCTAAAACAACATACAAACAAAAACTCCTTTCATTGCTGTAGAATGTGAACCGACTCTTACCTGATCCTCTAGCACATTCCCAAACTATACATTTCATGGTCAAAGATTGTCCGAGAATGGACATTGTCCCTGGTGCCTTCAAATCAAATAACTTTGTCATCATTATCATCAACAACTCATTGCTATCAAGTCAAAACTGATCCATAATGGATTTTCAGAGGCTGTAAATTGTACAATTTT